GTGCATGCCCACATGCATGTCTGTGTGTGTGTGCACATGTGCACACATGAGAGAGCTAGAGAGAGAGAGACAATCTATGTATCTGTTCAAATACACCCACATCCTTTCAGATTGGGCAAAGTTATACCAATACTCTGCTTTAGAATGAAGCATACAGTTTTACAATGCCAGGAATAAAAATAAAGGTGTTTAAAATTAATTGATCCATTAAAAAAAAGTATTGAATGTATATGTGTGTATGTATGTGTGTGTGTATGGTTTTGAAAGGCAATACACCCTGAAGTTAACACTAGTTCTCTCTACATAATAGGTTGAAGGTATTTTTTGTTTTTCTTTCTCAACTGCATTTTCTAATTTTAAAAAAATTTATAATGAACTTGTATTACTGAATAGTAAAGAACTAATAAGAGTTGCACAACAGCCTGGGGCTGTTATAACTGGTTCATAGCAACTAACATTAGAAATGCTCCAATTTCCAAAAAATGATGAGTTGGCAATATCCATTCTCTTCTGCTCCTCACCAGCAACCCATGACTTATTGTGGGCAGCACTGGGCCCAGAAATTACTCACTCTCCTTTGCATCTAGGGGTGGTCACATGACCCAGGTCTAATCAATAAGATGTGAGCAAAAGTCACTGAGCGAGGCTTTAACTTTATTCTTGTTATGATTTTCTCCTACCATATGTTTGCAGCAATAGGAGACATTTGTGTGAAGCATGAATTCAAGCATTTTTCCTACCTAAGAAAACTTTAATACAGAACTGAAGATCGTGAAAGCCAGGTGGGCAAACACCTGGAAATAGCACATGGGCAGAATCCTTAATAAGGTACAATACCCCTTTGCCCTCCTCACAAAAATGTAAGACTGTGGTTAGACTCCAAATCTGGGGTCTTTTCAATTGATCTAGACAAAGCAGTGGCAGTAGACCAAGGGAAGGAGGCAGGTGAGGTGTGAGTCTTTTCCTCTCCTAAATTCTGTAATTCTGCATGTCACAAAGGTCCTTTGTTTAAGAATAAATACTGCATGTTCCAAGCAATTCCCGGAATTTTTTAAATGGCTTCCATTTTCCTGGAGGAGAAGCTTGTAATGATCTGCTTGGCTCTCTGCCTTTATAGCCCTCTACGGGAGTCACTTAACCCCCAATTTGTAGGTTCAGCTCTGCTCCCAACCCTGTCCCCAGGCGGGGGAAGGTATATTAACCCAGTCTCTTCCTGCCTGTCTTCTCTGGTCATATACAAAAAGCAAAGATGCTTGTTAGTCTCTGGTGGAGATGGACATTTACTCTTGGATAGAAGTCAAAACAAAAATGTGTTTTTAAAAGTCTGTTTGTAAATATAAAACAAAGGTGAAATCTTAAAATGGAAGGTGTCCCAAAAGTACTTGTCAAGTACCAGCACTCCTAGGTGGTCAAGACATTTAATGCATAGAGACCTTCTGCTTCCAATTGGTCACAGGAGGCTTAGGGGATCCTTTAGGATTTATTCTAATGTTCCCAGAAACATTGCATTTAAAAGGAGAAAAAATACTTTAAAAATAATGCCATGAAGCCTTCACTATACAACCCCTTAATATACAGCCTCTTCCTTCAAAACCTTGCACATTTCCATACTATCCCATTATTATTCAGATGGGTCGAAACTGTTCTATTTTTTTTTTTTTAATTTAAGGAAAGTAATTTGATGAAATCTAACAGCCCTAATCAATTAAGCTGAAGAAAATGCAGAAGGCTTTAATAACAGCAAACCTATTGAAATGAAAGAGCCTATACATTGTTCTACTGACAGACTTCCTAGCAGAGCAAACCAGATGTAAGTTGCCAAGGGAAGTTCAGCTTGTAAATGGTAAGAAAAGTGTATACTGCCAGGCTCTACCGAGCTCTGTTATTTCTTCATTAAAATGCACTGTCAATCAGGTTGAAAAGAAATGTCTAATTAACACCATAGGACACCAAAAAATCTAGTGTCAGAAACTCAGTTGCTATCCCTTTTTACAACTATATCTCTCTAAGCGACTCCATTCCTCTCTTTCATCCCTTCCCCCATAACGAAGCCCCTCCCCCATATTCTATTTGTTTATGATCAAAAGCATACAAGAAATTGCAAAATGCATTGCGTTACGCAACTCCTCCTTTATAGCTGTGATTCAGCTAGAACTGAAATTTCCAGCATCTTCCCTTCTTTTTATGCCCTGTATCCATGTGAGGACAAAAATACAATGGAACATAGTACAAATCAACAGATTTTCATCTTGAGATTTCCCTTTCCAAGACGTGGAAGAATGAAAAGAGTTCCACCCCGAACAAGTCTAGTCCTGGATGCCAATAAACAACTCGTGTGACTTTGGGGATGTTCCTTCACAGCGTAGAGCCTGGATTCATCACTCATAAAATAGGGGTAAGTAATACATTGTCATTAGCCTGCTGCAAGGATTGTTTTAAAGATCAAATGAGAGGGGGTGGATTAAAAATCTTTGTAATAATGTATGATTATTATTATCCCAATGTCAGCAGAGTTGTATGGACCCATATGTTTTCGGTTAGTAAGAGGCTTACTGTGCTCTGATGCCTCCTGAAGGGTCATGGTCCCTCAGCTCTCCCCTGTTCATGCATTACTCATGCCCAGGCTTTGGGGACCCAGCGGAGGCTGAGGATGAGCTCAGAAATTTGGGTTTGGGGAAAGCTCTAAGAGGAGGGGATAAAACATTAATCGGAGACTTAAACTAGAATTAATCTAGAATTAATCTAAGACTTAAACTAGAATTCTCCCCACTCCCTTGGCATCCAAGCATCAAACACTATTGGTTTCTCTATCATGATGACTCTCCTTCTTTCACAGATTCTTTCCAGTCTCATCTCTTTTAGACTCATACACTGGTGCTCCTGCCATGGAATTTTCGATTGATCTTTATGCCACCCTCTCCCCTTTAGTCTCTTCTGCACATGACTACCAAATTAATCCTAGTTCAACTCCACTTAACATATGTCAGTCTCACTGCTGGTGATTTCAATGATTTTATTGTGATTATATGCAAAGTCCCACCTCTTCACCTGGTCCCCACACTTAGGCCACTATCTGCTTTGCAGGCTCATCTCCCAACACGTCCTTTTTAAGTCTGCCTAGTCATTTTGAAGTCTCTTGTTCCTTAATCATACCTTTAATAGTCTCTTCTATTTCTTCAAATATATTGAACATAGTCATTGCATATTCTGTGTGTGATCATCTTTACTTGTCTGGCTCTACTGTTTATTGTTTAGCTAACTCTCACTCATGGTACCTGGTTTTCTCATATGTTCTCTGATTTTTTAAAAATCTTGATTTGCATTCTCTACAATTTTATCTAAAGAAATTCTTTGAGGCCTGGATTTAAGGCACATCCCTCTAGAGAGAATTTTGCATCTGCCTTGTATCTTGGGCACTATCAACTCTAGTTCTCTTTGAACTAAATTCTTGGCTTGAGGTTTATCAAATGATATGGGCAGTGTGAATTTGGGCCACATTCCTCCATAAAGAGCTTACCTGTGGTTATAAATCCTCAGGGATACCTTTTTCCCCTGAATTAAAGCCAAAAGAGGGCAAATTTTCCAGTGTCCCTTTGAAAGGGCAGGTTTTTGTCTAGGTCGCCCACTGAAGGTGTCTCAGGGTTATAGATCTCTGATCTGACTTCCTTTGTCCCCTGTTGCCCTGTGCAGGCCTTCAAAACCAGTGCTCCAGGCAGTCAGGGGCTGACAAAGGCCCACAGAGCAGCAGCTGACTTCAGTGCTCATCACTTCACTTCATCCATCTTTTTTTTACTTTTTGGAATTTGAAGATTTCTCTTGCCTTTTGAAACCTTAGCTGTACATTTAAAAAGCCTTTTACAAAATAATCAAGCATTTTTAGGGTTTCTTAAGGGAATGATTTTTTAAGACATCTAGTCTACCATATTGCTATCACATCTCTATAGGCCCTCTGAGATCATTCAAATAATCATTTTGTTTTTCAAGCCTATAATGCACATTGCAGACTGCTCACCATAGCTCATCATATCTTATCTGTTTATAATCCTATAGCCATTCTCATCTGGCTGCCAATTAAGGCCTTTTGATATGTCAAGCACAAGTAAAGTACTTTTCATATATTATCTCATTTAACCTCATAAAAATCTTAAGAAGTGACTGTAATCAGCACCTATTTTTTAAAATTTTATTTTTCTACAGCAGTTTAAGGTTCACAGCAAAACTGAGAAGAAGGTACAGAGATATCCTATATATCCCCTGCCCCCACATATGTATAATCTCCCCCATTGTCGATATCCCTTACCAGAGTGGGACATTTTTTATAATTAATGAATCTACATTGATACATCATTATCACTCATAGTCCATAGTTTACATTAGGGTTCACTCTTGGTCTTGTACATTCTAGTGATTCTGTGCTGTACATTCTATGGGATATACAAATGTATCCACCATCAGTGTCATACAGAGCATTTTCACTGACCTAAACAGCCTCTGTGCTCCACTTATTCATCCCTCCCTCTCCCCAACCCCTGTCAACCACAGATCTTTTTACTGTTTTTATAGATATGCCTCTTCCAGAATACCATATAGTTGGAGTCATACAGTATGTAGCTTTTTCAGATTGACTTTTTTTCACTTAGAAATATGCATTTCAGTCCCTCCATATCTTCTCATGTCTTGATAGCTCATGTCTTTTAGCTATGAATAACATCTCATTATCTGGATGTACTAGTTTATTTATCCATTCACCTACTGAAGGACATCTTGGTTGCTTCCAAGTTTTGGCAATTATGAATAAAGCTTTTATAAACATCCGTGTGCAGGTTTTTGTATGGACGTAAGTTTTCAGTCCTTTGAGTAAATACCAAGGAGCACAATTGCTGGATCTTATAGCAAAAGTATATTTTGTAAGAAACCGCTAAACCGAGAGCGTCTAGATTGCGCCTTCCCCCCACATCTGTTCTCAGCTCACTCTAGCTAGCGACCCCTTGGAGCAGACCATGGCTGGGTCCCTGCCATGCCCCGCTGCTCCTGCTGGCCTCTCTGGCCTGGCCCTGGCTGTGAGCCCTGCAGCCCACATGATCCTCGGCAAGCCTCGTCTGCTGGGTGACCTGGAAGACATGGATGTGAATGAGGAGGGCATGCAGCAGGTGCTCAACTTCGCCCTAATTGAGTACAATAAGGCAAGCAAGGATGCCTTCCACAGCCCCGCCGTGTGGGTGGTACATGCCCACAAGCAGGTGGTGGCTGAGATGATTTTCTTCTTGGATGTGGGGTTTGGTCAAAATGCGTGTACCAAGTCCTAGCCCAACTTGGCCAGCTGTCGCTTCCATGACCAGCCACATCTGAGGAAGAAAGCACTCTGCTCTTTCCAGATATACACTGTCCTCTGGGTAGGCAAGAATGCATAGTACATGTGACAGGCTGGGCCACCTTGACTGCCTCTCACTAAACCTCTCCCCACTCCCCCACAGAGTTCCTAAGCCTTAGGTGGGTGACCTCACCTCAGTGGAGTCACCTCAGTATACAGGCCCCAGGAGATAAATAGAGAAGGTTTCTTGAGCATTGTTTGAACATCTAAGTGGCTCTAACTTGTTTCTTTCTTTTAATTGCTTTAAATGCACTGTCCCTGGTGCACATGCTCTGTTCCTACTTTATACAATAAGAAATAACACAGCTAAAGAAGAAGAAGAAGAAGAAGAAGAAGAAGAAGAAGAAGAAGAAGAAGAAGAAGAAGAAGAAGAAGAAGAAGAAGAAGAAGAGAAGAAGAAGAAGAAAGAAAAAGAAACTGCTAAACTGTCTTCCAAAGTAGCTGTGACATGTAGCATTCCTATCAGCAGTGAACAAGCATTCCCATTGTTCATATCCCTGCCAGCATTTGCTGCTGTCAGTGTTCTGGATTTTGGCCATTCCAGGTATCTAGTGGTATCTCGCTATTGTTTTAATTTGTGTTTTCCTGAAGACATATGATGTGGAATATCTTTTCACATGTTTATTTTCCATCTGTTTGTCTTATTTGGTGAGGTGTCTGTTAAAGTTTGTCTCATTTTTTAAACTGGATTGTTTTCTTTTCATTGAGAGTTCCTAGTATATTTCAGATAACAGACTTTTATGAGATATGTCTTTTACAAATATTTTCTCTTAAGTCTGTGGCTTATTGTATCATTCTCTTGACAGTGTCTTCCACAGAGCAGAAACTTTTCACTTTAATGAAGTTCAGCTTACCAATTCTTTCTTTCATGAATAGTGCCTTTGGTTTTGTACCTAAAAAGTCATCACTAAACTCAGGGTCGTCAAGGTTTTCACTTATGTTATCTTTTAGGAGTTTCATAGTTCTGCATTTTAAATTTAGATCTGTGATCCATTTTGAGCTGGTTTTTGCGAAGAATTTAAGGTCTGTGTCTACAGTATTATTTTTTTTTTTCGTGTAAATGTCCAGTTGCCTCAGCACCATTTGTTGAAAAGATTATCTTTTCTCCATTGTATTACCTTTTCTCCATTGTCAAAGATCAGTTGACTATATTTATGTGGGTCAATTCCTGGGCTCTCTATTCTACTGCATTGATATATTTGTCTATTCTTCACCAATACCACACTGTCTTGACTCCCATAGCTTCATAGTTGAGCCCTGAAGTCCTCTAACTTTGTTCTTCTCCTTCAATGTTGTATTGGCTCTTCTGGGTCTGTTGCCTCCCCATATAAACTTTAGAATCATTTTATTTATCTCCACAAAATAATTTGCTGGAATTTTAATTAGAATTGCACTGAATATATAGATCCAGTTGGTAAGAGCTAACATCTAGATGATATTGAGTCTTCTTATCCATGAAATATCTCTTCATTTATTTAGTTCTTTGATTTCTTTCAACAGGGTTTTCTAGTTTTCTCATATAGATGTTGTATATTTTTTAAGGTTTATACCTATATGTTTTATTTTTCAGGAGTGCAGACATAAATGGTATTGTGTTTATAATTTCAAATTATACTTGTTCACTGCTGGTGTATAGGAAATGATTTTCTTTTATATACTGCCACTGTGTCCTTCAACTTTGATATAATCACTTATTAGTTTCAGGATGGTTTTTTTGTTGTGTGTGTGTGTGTGTGTGTGTGTGTGTGTGTATGAACAATCGTCATCTGTGAACAAAGATAGTTTTATTTCTTCATTTCCAATCAGTATACCTTTGATTTCCTTTTCTTGTCTTATCGCACTAGCTAGGACTTCTAGTCCAATGTTGAAAGAAAGTGGTGAGAAAGGACATTCTTGCCTAGTCCCTGATCATAGTAGAAAGCTTCAGGTTTCTCACCATTAAGTGTGATGTTAAGTATAGGTTTTTTTGTAGGTATTATTTATATAATTGAGGAAGTGCGCTTATTATTTAAATGAGAAATATCTAAACTCAGAGAAGATAAGTGACTTTCCTGAATTCATAAAGCTAATAAATTAATGGAAGGCAGATTCATATCGAGGGCTATTGGATTCTAAATTTTGTACTAAAAACCACTAAACTAAACCACTTTTAGAGTTTCACATTTAGTTTTCATAGTTTTGTAGTTTGTTCTCTGAAGGTAGAGAACATGCCTCATACATATTCTCAGAATCCAGCACAAAGTTATTTTCCTCAACAAATATTAATTACTTATATATTAAACCAATATTATTAAACCATCTACTATGTGACAGACAATATACTAGCTAGTCTTGATGTTACATAAAAGAAGCAGACAGAACCTATGATCTTCAAAGAGTTCAAAGTCAGTAACAGGACTTTCAGTTCTGCTGAAATAGGGTAGCTCCTTTCCTCTCAGGTTGTCCCTTTATGACCAATAATCCATGGATATAACACAATACAAAAGCATAGACAGTTTCTAAAAGGTATGAAGAAAAAGGCCAACTGCCTCAGGACTTTAAGACTTAAGGAATGACACAGCAGCAGGTTTCCTCTCACCTAGAATTGCCAAAGGCACAGACAGAAAAAAAAAATTTCAAAAAAGCCCTGTTTTCTAGTCAAAAAACCAGAAAAATTGTGACCTAACTAGAAACGCTTTTGGTAATATCTCCCACACTTTCATCAAGACTGAATAGAAGGTTAATCTTCCACCCCATTCTTGACCCAGAGAAACAGATGGTGCTCCAATTTATGTACCATGTGGTATGGTGTTGATGGGACCAAGAGCACAGCTGATCTTCTATTTCCTACCCTGCAGAACCAGGTGGCAGTGATTCTATTCTACTACTACTACAATAAGACAAGAAAATAAAATAAAAGGTATGCAGACTGGATAGGAAGAAATAAACTGTCCCTATTTGTAGATTGATATGATTATCCATGTACGAATTGCAAGATACCTATAAAACAAGCAAACAATTAAATTCCTATAACTGAGCAGTAGTTCAGCAAGGTCGTAGCATGCAAGAGTAACACATAAATATCAATCACATTTCTATATACTAACAATGAACATATAAAAATGATATTAAAAACACAGTATTATTTATAATTGCTCTAAATAAAATGAAATACTTAGATATATGTTTAACAAAACATGCACAAGATTTGTATGTTGAAAATTACAAAATGTTGATGAAAAAATTCAAAGAAGACCTAAATAAATGGAAATACATACTGTATTCATGAATTAGAAGACTCGGTATAATGAAGATGTCATTTCTCACTGAATTGATATACAGGTTTAAAGCAATTCCCACCAAAATCTCTGCAAGATTTTTTATAGACATAGCCAAGTTTATTGTAAAAATTATATGGAAAGGCACGTGCCCTAAAATAACTGAAACAATCTTGAGAAAGAAGAATTAAATGGAGGGAATCGCTCTAGTTAAGGCTTACTATAACAGCTACAGTAAGACCATGTGATATCGGCAGAGGCGTAAACACATAGATGAATGCAATAGAATACAGAACCTGAAAATAGACCCACACAAATATTCTCAACTGGTTTTTAAACAAAAGTACAAAAGCAATTCAGTGGAGGAAGGATAACTTTTTCAACAAACGGTACTGGAGCAATCAAACATTGACCTAAACCTCATAATTGATACTAAAATTAACCAAAAATGGATCATGGAATTAAATGTAAAATGTAAATCTATAAAACTTATGGAAAAATATATAAAACGTCTTTAAGATCTGGAAATAAGTATAGAATTCTTAGACTTGGTATCAAAATCACAGTACATAACAGGAAAAAAAATCATTATTTGGACCTCATCAAAATTAAAAACTTTTGTTCTGTTAAATCCCATGTGAAGAACATAAAAAGACAAGCTACATTGTGGAAGCAAATATTTGCAAATCACATCTGACAAAGGACTAGTTTCTAGTCTCAAAATTGAACATTAAAAAATTTAATTAGAAAATGAACAGAAGACACAGATATTTTGCCAATAATTATATACGGATAGCAAATAAGCACATGAAAAGATGTTCAACATCATTAGCCATCAGGAAAGTGGAAATAATTAAAACTACAATGAAATGTCATTACACACCTATTGAAATGGCTAAAATAAAAATAGTGAGAACACCAAATGCTGGTAAGGATGTGAAGAAACTGGATTGCTCATACATTTCTGGGAGGAATGTAAACTTGTACAGCCTCTCTAGAAAACAAGTTGGCAGTTTCTTACAAAACTGAGCATGCCACTACCAAATGACCTAGCAATTATATCCTTGGGTATAATTAAAATATAATATAAGAGAAATGAAAACTTATATTTACACAAAAATCTGTATATAAATGTTTATAGCAGTTTTATTTGTAATAGCCAATGTGTGAATGATTAAACAAACTTTGCTACATCCATATCATGAAATACTACTCAGCAATAAAAAGGAACTATTGATATGTAGAACATGCAGCAACTTGGATGAATTGCCAGAGAATTATGCTGAGTGAAAAAGCCAATTCCAAAGTTCATATACTGTATTATTCCCTTTATATAACATTCTTGAAGTGAAAAAAATTATATAAGTGAAAAACAGATTAATGGTTGCCAGCGGGCAAAGATGCAGGATGGGGGGAGGTAGGCGTAGCTATAAAAGGGCAACAAGAGAGATCCTTGTGGTGATGGAACTGTTCTGTATCTTGACTGTATCAGTGTCAATATCCTGGTTGTGATATTGTACATGGTTTTGAAATATGTTACCTTTGGGTAAACTGGATAAACAGTGTACAGCTCTCCCTGTGTTGTTTCTTAGAGCTATAGGTGAATCTACAATTATCACAAAATTAAAAACTTAATTTAATTTTTAAAATATTTGCACGCACACACAGTAATGGAAGACAGAAATGTGCACAGAGGAATGCAATTCTAGTGTTAAGTGGAGAATTAGGAATGTTTTCATGGTTGATATGACCTTTGGCCTGATTCTTGCAAAGTAAGTGGATG